AAATATAGAAGTTATTCTTGTACCTTGCTCGTTGGCATGAGTGATGAGGTAAAATTTGGCGGAGTAGACATCCACATAAGTGAGTGCAGCAAGAGGGAGTTGATTCCTAAGCTGGTAAACCATTACTTTGAGTTGCCTATTGTACTCTTGAGCCACGTCGTTTTGTGTGTATACACAACCATATTTATCAATATTCTGGGGCTTCAAAGGATAATATATAACTGAAATTGGTAGGCACCCAATTGGACCAGTGTTATGAATCCAAAAAGTTCGTGCCCCTTGTCCATAGAGAAACTGCACCATACAAGAGAATGAGGGTGTTAGATATTTACCTTTAATGTTATTTACATTTAATGTGTGATGTTTCCAAGTCAAAGCGCATGATTTTGATAATCAGTCTATAGGTGAATGGGTTCAAAATAGACAATATTCTAGTGAGGGTTTGGTTGAGCGCATGAGTAATCTAATTCCTGACTTTGGGAATGGTTTGGGGTCTTGGACGTAGTATTGTCGAGCTCTATGGTGATGTCTCTTAGTACATAATCATCAAAAAGTAGGGGTCTAAATCCCCATTGACTTACAAATTTTTAAAGAATGGCTTAGGGTTTGGCCTCATAGTGAGGTCTTTGACTCCATTCTCACCAAACGATGTAGACTCAAATCCCCACTAACTTACAACTTTCAAGAAACGATCCCGAGCTTAATAGGTTAGCACTTGACGAGTGACGATGCTACATCCTAGGCTCAATTCCTACCAAAGGTAGGGGCCATCTCCCCATTGACTCACGCAAAAAGGAAAAATCTAATTCCTGACTTATGAGGGATTGTCCTAAAGGTAAATATTTATGGCATTAATTTGTTAATATTACATAGAGTGAATTCTTAATTCATCTTTCCTTTTTTAATGTAACTTCTTAAATAGTCATTTTTAAGAATTATTTTTCATCAATGTATTTAGATTCCGATTATTTAGAAGATTGTTGTAAAGTAGATCACATGCATCCTTTTATATATATATATATATATATTCGAAGAAAAAAAGAAAAAAAAAAAGAGAATGGGCTAGGGCTTTGGCGGTAGTACCAACGAGCCCTATGATGAAGTCTCTAACTCGATTCTCACTAAAGGGTATATATATATTTTTTGGTCAATTTTTTTTTGCTAATTATTTTTTTATAGTTTTATTAGGTGCGGCTTGATGAGAAGAACACACGCCTAAAATTTCAAGTGATTTGGATTTGTAGAAAAGAAAATTAAAATTTAAACACTACCGGACATCTGTGATCGTAAAATCGGCCCAGATTCAATCTGAGTCGTTGGGCTCATTTTTTCCTGTGAGCTAATAGGCCCACCCAAGCTTTTTCCATATGTATAGGAAAAGATCCTGTCAGCCAACGGGCTGATAGCTATAGTGTCAGCCAATGGCCCAGATTGAATATGGGCTTATCTGACAGTCATGATCTCATTTTATGTTTTAAAAATAATATTGAACAAAAACACCATCTAATTTTGTTTACACGCTCATCACACAATATTATTGTTTTAAAAATAATCATGCAGGGATTATAAAGTGGATCCCAAAATTGCGGTCAATAAAATACTGCTATGGATTCTTGAGTGGATAAGGGTGCAGGTGCTCTACCAAATCGTGCACTACTCGCTAAAAGAGAAAAATAGCCAAAAGCGATGTAGGTAGGTAATATAGAGAAGAATTGGATGACCCCAATACACCCATTTGATGTTTTAACTCTCGCGTCGGTTTTGTTAGAGTACTATCTTTTAGAGAGCATTGGTTTAACCTACTCAACATTAATTGGACACTTACTGCTTTTTATTTTGTAACACAAAAATATTTGGAGTAAGGACACTTTTTATCATTTGGTATATATCTTTATAAGAAACGGTATTCTATTAGTTGTGTGAACTGAGAAAGCAACTAAGGCTTTACATAGATCATATTACACCCCGAATAGATGATTATATGTTTGACAACATTCCCCACCATAGTTAATAAATACTATTTTCTAACAAAATTTCTCATGCACCCTGGATTAATTAACGAAAATGCCTGTATCTAAAAAAAATACTATATTTTGAAATAAGGTCTCTAAAAATGTTGAGTAGATTAAAAAATTATTTCATAAGAGGAATTAACCTTAGAACTCCTTTCAAGAATTAACATAGGTGATATCGTTATTAGGAAGTCCTACTGCGCCATGCACATTACTTTTTTCGCAGGGCTTTTTTTGACATAAGGACCAAGTAACATTACCAAAAATTACCCTTTGGTCTATAACTTCCCATATTTTACCAAGAGGTCCTACTCCCTTGCTTTTGCCCCGGTTCGATACGCTATTATCAAGCCACTTTTTTCAATTAATTTATTTATTTGACATTCATGGGGCAGTCGAATGTTTATTATATCGATCCAACCCATTTGTAGGGTGGGCCGACAATGGCAACATTGGTGTTGTCCGCAGTTACAGATATCAGACCAATAGCTTTCAAAATATCCAACCGTAAATCATCATCATCATCTGATCCTTATCCCAATTATTTGGGATCGACTACACAAATTTACGAGTTAAATATATTTAGAAAAAAAAAAAAGTAGTTCAATAGCGGTCCAATATCCGAAAGCTATGAAAAGAATCCAATGCTTGTAATAACGAACCGCCCCATAGAAAAATGCTGGGCAAAAGATACAGGGCAATTTAATGTTCCCATTCTTGAACCAACCAAGAAATGGGGTAGATTGATATTCTAAACATCATACCACTCCATGAATTTAGAAAATAAATAAATAAATTTAAAATATGTGGTTCGATATTAGAAACATCGAACTGGGTAAAATTTGGAAAGAAAATAAGAAAAATTAAGAGAGTAGGACTTCATGGTAAAATATGAGAACTTACATATTAAAGGTTAATTCCAGTAATTTTATCAAGTCAGTGACACTCTTACACCCGCCCATTTTTTAAATTTCAGAGATAAAAATGATTGTGACCTCCTCGTACAAAAGGTAAATGGTCTCTTTGTAGGCAATCTCTATGGCTTTTACTTCGTTTTGGTGCAAAGCTCAATGGCTTCCGTGAACTGGTATATTGAATGAGTTTGGGCAAGGATCACATAACACACTTTTGCCTTCCAAAACAAAAAGAATCAAATTATAGGATTTATGAGAGCTTACTTGGATTGCTTGTGACAGGCCGGCGAGGATATTGGGGATCGAAGCTCGAACTTGATCGTCTGACGTAGCTCGGAATCCAGCACCAAGATCATTTTGGCCTATGTCAAAAGTATAAAATGCCTTGGAGAAGTCCTCAGGCGCTGGGACGTTTCCCTTTACTGCATTCTCTGATAGAAGAACAGTACAGCATAAATATGAGCTACAAATTTGAAGGAAAAACGATTATGAATGGAAGAAAGGGCAGCTCCTTTGCTTCAAATGAAGAGAAGGCATTATGTATTGTTCTTGGAAAATCACATATGTTGAGTTTACTTTCTCAAATTTTGCCCGACCTAACTTCAACTATTTAAATTGCTATGTATTAATTTGATCATCCTTAAATAGTAACATTTAAGTTAATTGCCCAACGACTACAATATAAAAAGGGTCTAGAACCTCTCTCCTCTTTGGAGGAGCTCTTGAGAATCTCTTTAAAAAACAAAGAAGCCTCGTCACTAGACACTACAAAATATCCACCGTTTTGGGTTTGCCTGAGAGCAAAAGAAAAAAATAAGTGGAGAAGATGGGTTTGAAAAGATTTGAGCGTATATAATGTGCTCCCGCAGGAGCATATTGCGTATATAATGGGTTGATTTTTTTTTTAGTCTAAAGTTTTTGATACCATATAAAAACCGCTAGATGATTAAAAGAAAAATTAAGTTTTTGGAACTATATAAAAACTACTAGATGATTAAAAGAAAATTTTTGAATTTTACGTTTTGTGACACTTAGATCTAGTCCTTCAAAAATTAAAAAGTCTCTATTCAATCTTGAGGCATTAGTTTTTTCTATTATATAGAAATTTTACTTTTAAGAATATTTTTTATGAGATTTTTCTATGAGTTGTAAAGATCACGTCCCCGAAATTTGAGATCTAAACAGTATCCCTAAAACGTGTTTTTCCTAAAGGAGGAAATGGATAGTATACTCCCTAAGGAGGAAATCTTTTAGCAAAATATTTTCCATTTCTATTGGTTTTGAATGTTACGGGATTGAGATAATGGGTTATATTATTGGATTACATATCATCATCATCATCACCGTTAAAGCCTTTTTACAACTAATTAGGTTTAACTACACAAGTCCCGGTCTGTCATTTTGCTCTTTTAAGAGTTATCCCTTTACTAAAGCTATAAGTTCCTATATTTTTTCTCATTACTTCCAACCATATCTTTTTGGGCCTATCCTTTGTCATTTTTTAGCCTTCCACTTGAATTAACTTCTACCTCCTAACAGGTATTGTACTGGGTTTGCTCTACATATGCCAGCCCAACTAAGTCTACTTTCTCTCATCTTATCACTTATTGGTACCACACCGAAATTCTCTTGAATGTATTCATTTTGAAATTCATCCCTTCTTGTCTTTCCACTCATCCATCTCAACATCCTCATCTCACCTACGCTCACTTTATGGGTATATTGTTTTTTAATCGCACAACATTCTGCCCCATAAACTAAAACTGGTCTCATATTTGTCCAATAGAACTTGCTCTTTAATTTCATTGGTATCCTGTTGAACATTTGATGTGGGTTACAAATTGTAGTGAGAATTCTCAAGGATGCTATTTGTAAGCACATAAGCTTTTTGAAATAAAAGGAGAAACTACATTACAAATTTCATAAAATTGTGGTATCAAGTAAATTTCGTTTTTCTTTTTTGTAATAGAATGATTTCAAAGTTCTCAAGTGTGTTTTACTAAACAATAAGAATTATATGGTAACAAGAAAAAAGCTTTATTAAGATGCTTGAATCATGAATGCTCTCAGCCTCTAACAAAGGCAACAGTAACCTCAACTTTTGTTATGTTCTTATTGAAGTACAACAACAACGATAGGAATAGTGGCAGTACCTTTGAAGTAAAGGGCGTCTGATCTAGATTTGAACTGGTTGAATTGTGACATTTGTATGTTCAAGGAGAAGGGGCTCACCCCACCGTCAAACAAAGTGACATTTTGTGGTCGAATTGTGGACCCAGCTGTTGCGAAATTCGCACCATGCTGAAAACCGTCCCCCAAAGAGTCTAAGTATGCAGTCAAGTATGGCAATCCCAAGCTCTCAGCTACAATGCAAGAGAGAAGAATCAATGAACCTTGTCACATAATAATATATAGGAAATCACTTCTTGGCTTAGGAGTTTTTATGCTTTATAATTTGGAAAAGCAATTGGGCTTCTGTTTGCATCAAAAATTATTTCCATCAAAACAAAGATTTTCTTTTAGAAGAGAAACTATTCTAGAAGGGTTGCAATTTCTTTGAAACTAAACTACCTAGTTTTTAGAAGATGCCAATCAATGTAAGACGAGTCTATATGATAACACCAGAAAAAATGTCAGATATTCTATTGAACGACATAGCATTATACACACATAATGATCTCCTTCCTCATTTCAATGGATTTGTGCAGTGAAGTTTGTGTAAAAATTTCACGTCACCTTATTTGATGCACTGAGTGATTCTTTTTCTGTGCAATTCAGAGGTATAATTTCACTTCACATTATACACAAAATTGAATTTGATATATAAAACTGTCAATATGAATTGCAAACCTCTCAAGCTCGAGTCCTTGCATTGATGGACATTAACCTACAGAAGGACATACTCCAACAATTCATTCGTATCTTTTAATGGCAAGGTGATGTGAAGGTTCCTAAACCGTGTTCAGGAATTCCCCTCAAGCCAAGTACTTGGCCATGTGCTCAAAGTGAGTCAACCGGGTGAGGATGAGTGGACTTGCTTGAGTACTACTGTAAAGGCCCAAAAGCCCCAGAAAATAATAATAAAATAAAAATAAATAAATAAAATAATAAAGGATTGCCTACCACTAACACCATCCTACTAACACTTTAAAAAAGCTTACTCCTAATTCCCACTAACACCTTCAAAAAGCTAACTCCTAATCTACTTGAAACAACAGGAAGGGATCTGTTTCCCTATTGAATTATCCAAAAAAAGAAAGAAAGAGTGATTGCAAACTAACCCTAAAACTTTATATAAAAGACGAAATGGTCGACTTATATGCAAAAGTTACAAAGAAGGTTGGTCAAAAAACTTTTTTTCTTTTTTTATCTGTTTTAAAATTGGCCCTCAGTCAACCTGAATTTAATTTTTTTTTTTTTTTTTTTTTCATATCTAGGGTAGTGTCTTAAAGTTTGAGGCACTGCCCTACTAACAATTTTTTTTTTTTAAAAAAACAAATATGAGTTCATCGAGGGGCAATTTAAAAAATGATTAAAAAGGTAAGTTGACTTACCTTTCTGCCTATAAGCGAAGTGTTTTGTATTTTACCTAAAAAATTAAGGTCCATACATAAATCCCTCAAAATAAAAAAGAGTCAAACTATCTTTATTAGAAGGAGGTTACAATTATTCCCACTCATATGTTGTTAAAATTGGATGTAATGCCCTGAGTCACTAAGTCCAAACTTTCTTTTTGGAACTTTGTGTGTATTCAATAAATAGTATCTTTTTAGAATATCCCATAAAATAAAAGTCATAAAAGTTAAATAAAATTAAAAGCAACTTTAAAAACTAGAAATAAGGACTAAAACGTATAAAAAAATTGATTTATAGCTCGGACCATTTAAATTTTCATAAAAAAATATAAAAATATAAAAATATAAAAATATAAAAATATTTATAAAAGATTATAAAAATATAAAAATTTACAAATTTAAAAATTTTAAAAATTAAAAAATATA